CAGAATCCTAAAATCTTTTAATTGGAAATGACCTTGAAGATCAGCTAATTGAGTCCACTCATTTTACAGATAAAGAGCTGAGACCCAGGAAAGTCAAGTGATTGACCCAGAATCATTCACGTCATCAGTGGAAGAGCTGGGACTTGAACCTCCATCTTCTGGCCCCTAGCCCCGTATTCTTTCCTTACCCTGATGTCTCAGGGTAGGGATGTCTAAGAAAGGGATGGGGATGGGGGATGTGATCTCTGTGGTTGTCTCTAGCTCTAGAATTCTATGTAACTATGAATCCATAATTTTATTTTTAACAACCCAGTTGTTCAATGAGCATAGAGTTCAGCTATAGAATTTTAAAAGCTAAATCAGGCCTTTGTGGCAATCATCACGTCCAGGAAAACTGAAAGCCAGATAGGTTAAGTGATTATGCAGAAAAATCATTCAGCTAATAGAGAGCTAAGTCAACATTGGAACCCGGATCTCTGATCCTAAATTAAATACTTTATATAATCTGGTGGGGTTTTTAATTGATTTTATTTCAATCAGCAAAAATTTGCCATCTCTCCTTCCTTCCCCCCAACATATGTAGAGTCAAGCAAAATAAATTTTCACGATGTATGTGTGTGTATGAAAAAATTAATTAAAAATCACTAGATTATCTAAAGCACTCAATATAGAGTCAGAGATCCTGATTTAAATCTAGATTTGGTTCCTTGGTCCATATGTGTGTGGGAAGAGGGGGGGAGACAGAGGGAAAGAGACATATTTCTTATTGTGCACTCTGAGGTTTTCCCCTCTCAAGAGGTGGATAGCGTATTTCATCATTAGTCTTCTGGAATCAGAGTCTTTACACTGATCAGAGTTCCTAAGTCTCTTCAAGTTGTTCGTCTTTTCATTGTTGTTGTCATTATATAGCTTGTTCTCAAATACCTCATTTAACATATGAGTGAATTAAAGTACATAGAGGACCAAGTTTCATACAGAGTATGTCCTTTTTAAATGAAATCAAATTACATAACACTTTCCCTAAACAAAGGCAACCCATGGACTTTTTAAAAAACCATTCACAAAACATAACTAATCCTAAAAACAACTTCCTTTCTCCAGAACTACCTAAAAAATACCCAATCTTCAAAAACTGTTGGCTTCATTTAGGAATATCATTATTTGGTTGCATGCATGCACATACACAGTCTGTCTGTCTGTCTGTCTCTCTCTCTCTCTCTCTCTCACACACACACACACACACACACACACACACACACACACACAAAACAAACAAAAAAAAACCAACCCAAACACAGCATATAACCCTTCCACCCAAAAACTTACACTGCTATCAAATGCATCTGAAATTAGCGCGAAAGTCTTAGTTCTATGATACCTGGAGTCAAAATTGCTAAAGAACCCTAGAAACCTCATATGCTATATAAACAAAATCAAAGAGAAAGGTTAAGAAATCAGTAATAAATATCAGGGGTCTAGAAGAGTTTTCACATTCTCTTTTACCACATAACTAAGGGAAAGTTGTCCTGAAACTGCTATATAATTTCATTTACAAACACCCAAATATGCATACTTTCTAGGAACTCAATGAATATAAAAATTGAGGTCTATATTTACTTTGGAGAGAAAAGGGAGTTATCATATTTGATGAATTTGGTGGTAGCATCTTTTGAAAGTGGATAAACCACTCAAAGAGGGAAGCCGTATCTATCTGGTGGCTACTAGGGTGCTTACAAAGATGCTGATACTTCAGCAGGCCTGTGATCTCATCAATGTGAATATTCCTAGGCCCACTGATGCTAAAATCTCTCTAACAGTACTGATCACAACATGTAATCTTAGAGCTAGAAGTGACCTTAGGCATCATAGAGGAGAAAACTGAGGTCCAAAGAAGGAGAGCAGTCACACAGCTAATTAAGTGGCAGAACTAGGTAGGACTCAAACCCAGGTCTTCTGACTGAATCCAGCGCTTTTCCCCACTACACCACACCTGTAATGAGAATTTTTTTTCTCTTTCTATCCCATTCCCCCCACTTCCACCCCACACCTGCCTCCACGGACCAATCTTACTGTTCAATATTTAGAAGGTTGCCAAGGTGGGCCCCCATTGGGAAATAGGGGGATGGGGGTGGGAGGAGTTGACACTTCCTTTATGTGGTTCACTAGAATTCCATTAGAAGTTTATTCCTTTGACTCAAAGGAAGGTCCCTGATTAAATTTCAGATGATCCAGGGAAGAACAAGAGTGATTTTAGCATAAATGAGTATTGGACCTCGGTTTTCTCATCTATAAAATTTAGGGTAGCCTTAGCAACCAAATCTAATCTCTTCATCTAGTTGGACTAGATGACCTTGGGTCTCTTGAAGCTCCACAGGCCTCTGAGAAGGGAATTCATTTGTACCTTTTCATCCGATCAACCCATATTCAATTTTTAAAATAACTTAAATCTTGTGTTTTTTCAAAAAAATCTTTATCTTTTTTAAAGATCCAAGGGAATAAATATTTGGGCTCTGAGTAGAGTGACAAACACATTCCATCAAGCTTTTGAGGGATTGTTGGGTTTTCTCTATGTGTAGCAATTGATATTAACTCCAGTAGGGGGAGACACCACATTAAGTACAGAACTGCCCTTCTGCCAAGCTTGGAAATGATATTTTGGTTGTCCAAAATTACACTCACCTCTGCACTATACAAGATTCTAGCAAGACCACACTGGACTGATTCGAAGAAAACGCTTTTAAACCTCTCATAATACAAATTCACCGACTTTACAATTCAACTGTGTTCTAAATGTACTGAACTATTTTCTGATCCCATTTCTAATCTCAATTCCAACCACTAGGTAAAATGATTCTAAGAAATAATTAAAAACTCTATTATTTACAGAAGTTCCCTGGCACCTGTCTAAAGTTTACCAATCTAAATCCCAAAGGGCTCTTGCTATCAACAGTTGGTACCCAACGTATGCTAGCCAAAGGAAAGATGGGTAGTTTTTTACCCCCCAAAGGCAATACATATGTTGAATCCCACATCATAGACACATTGCTCGTGAGTACTTTCAAAAGATGCTACCACCAAATTCATCAAATATGATAACTCCCTTTTCTCTCCAAAGTAAATATAGACCTCAATTTTTATATTCATTGAGTTCCTAGAAAGTATGCATATTTGGGTGTTTGTAAATGAAATTATATAGCAGTTTCAGGACAACTTTCCCTTAGTTATGTGGTAAAATTACATTTAGGAGGCACTAACAATTTATGTTTCATTTTCCAACCCTATCCCATTAGCAGTCGGTTATTCAATGCTATGTAAGCAAACAGCTGAATTAGAGCCACTCCAATTTAAAAAAAAAAAAAAGAAAAACTCTCTTAAAATGAAGAATCCTTTTATGGTACAACTAATTATGCCCCCAAGATTATCAGACCATTAGGTATTACAAAATTTAGTGGTGAAGAACAGTGTATAAGACCGGCAACCATTCCTCACAACAGGAGTTATTTTGTTATTAAGAATCATTATTAAAATTCATCACAGTAAGCATATAAAGCTAAAAGCAATCAGACCTTCACACCTGGGATCCCCCAGTCATCTTGGAGGGAGGTGGTTTATTTTTTTTCTTTAAAGCAATTTCACTCTTTCCTCCCTCCTCGTGGGCAGAGGGAAGACTTGGAAATCTGGTAAAAGATTTACCACAACTTTGAACCATCAACTGAATTGATCAACTCATCATATGATTCTATAACACTCCAATGCCAAACCCATGTTTATTTGTGTAACTCGTCAACACTAACTTTCTATCCCACATTGGAGGCTTACAACTAGGCTGCTCCTGCGTCCCGCAGAAGACTCCAGGAGACCAAAGAGGCTACAAGATGGAGAGGCAGGAAGCACAGGGGGTAGACCCAAGAGTTGGAGAAACCCAGCTCACCCTTTCACAAGGTTCACAGTGTGCCCACCAAACAGCTACTAGAGCATTGTGGCTCCTAACTCCGTGTACTATTCCCTATAATTTATAACCTTATAACCCTGGGCTCAAATGTTAACACTACCTATAAAACCCATTTACAGGAAAGAGAGAAAAAGCCCAGTTCAAATGAGCACTCTTATGCTTACTAAAGTAAATCATATAACCATCAGGATGAACGACGTTCTTCAGCTGTCAAAATGCACATTGCTACCAACAGTCAGAGAACAAAAACACAACCAGAAGTAACAGGCTCACCCCCAAGCAGTAATGTGCAGGTAATCACAAAGCATGGGAGAGGCTTCGGCCTCACTAGTTACATATCCCCTCTCTACAACGCCTACCTTAGCGCAGCCACAAAAGGAGCTGGGGACGAAGCACGGGGACAGCTTCAGTTCGGTCCTCTATGTAGTCCCAGAGACATCTAGAGCCTCTGCACTCAGTAAAGTGCACACGGACAGTGTCGAGCTCAGGCTGTTTTGCTAAAGCATTAAAGGGCGGGTTGGTGTCTTAGATGACCATCTGTTAGGGATGTTAATTTCTTTTGAGTCGTTTCAGTCGTCTGATTCTTTGTGACCCCATTTGGGTATTCTTGGCAAAGATACTGGAGTGGTTTGCCATTTCCTTCTCCAGCTCATTTTACAAATGAAGAAACTGAGGTAAACACGGTTAAATGACTTGCCCAGGGTGTTATAGGAGGGATTATTGATTTAGAGCTAGAAGGGACTTTGGAGGTCATCCGGCCCAACACCTTCATTTTATGGACATGTTGCTGGGGCCCAGAAGAGTGAAATGATGTCAAATTCCAACTGTCATTCTTGGGTTCCTAATTTAAAACTCCTCCCTATCTCACAGTGCTTCGGGTAAGGGTTTTTTATGTTAGGTGACCAACTCTGAAGTCCCTTTCAGTTCTGGGATACTCTAATTTGGGGGGGGCGGGGCTAGGCAATGGGGTTAAGTGACTTGCCCAAGGTCACACAGCTAGTGAGTGTTATGTGTCTGAGGCCGGATTTGAACTCAGGTCCTCCTAAATCCAGGGCCAGTGCTCGATCCACTGCGCCACCTAGCTGCCCCTAGGGATACTCTAATTTTACCTACTCTCCAGCCTCCTTTCCCACCACTCATCACAAAACTATTATGTGTGTATTTTTAAAGGGGGCGAGGTAGAGGGTGCAAGATCCTGCAAGATCCCAAGAGATATAAACCCTGCATCCCAGGTTATTATTTAACAATGGAGACAATGGTTTTCTTATCCCTGCCCCTAAAAATCACAGTTGTGCTCATAAACAGGCCATCAGTGTCACATAACTGTGTACTGAGTCTTCAACAGAATAACAAGATAGATGATGCAAGTCTACATACACTGGACAGAGCTTCATCTCTCATGAGCTTCACAAGATACCCAAACAACCAAAAAAGGACTCTTTACTTTGGCTCAGGTTTCAGTCACTTTTGTACATCTCAATTTCAGCCCAACTCCTTCTGAGTAAGAGGGCATCACTGAGACAGCAGGTTCTGAGGGCCCCCGTCCTTGCTCTCACTCTGCTCTGCAGGGCCATACTCTGACACAGTGACCGGTGACTTTTTATATCCCCTCAGTGTGTGGGCATTCAGCATCTCCAGGAGCAGGTCGTAGACAGGGACCACATTTTTGCATTTCATGCTGAGCAGTGTTCCATACCTTTGTTACTGTGGGGGAGAAGCATAAAAAAGAAGAGGAAAAAGAAAAACTAGCATTCTGGGGGCAAAGATATCATGATGCTTGTGAAATACAGGGAAAGAGAGTAATGGAATCATGTTTCTTTGTCTCTAGTCCCTGGGTAAAATAATTTGTGTGTATTGTCTATCCCCATATCTCTGACTTTAAGAATTTTTAGTGTTTTACATGATTGTACATGTATGAACTATATTGGCTTGCTTGCCATCTCAGGGGGGAGGGGAGAGAGGAAGGGAGGGATAAAATTTGGAATTCAAAACTTTTTTAAAATGTTAATTTTTACCATGTAATTATATATATATGTATATATGCATGCATATGTATGTATATATATATACATATACATACACACGTATATATATATATGAATTTTCAGATCAGACCCTCTATTTCTTTTATTGTTTTATATATTACGTCCACCCTCACCCCACTCTCTGGCCATCAGGTAAAGTGGGTATGGATTCATGGTGGACTCAAAATATTTATCATCATCATCTCATCATTAATATAAAGAGGTTAGTCCTCTAATGTAAACTTTTTCCTTGACCTTGGGTAAATCACTTTGTCTCCCTAGGCATTAGCTTTCTCATCTGTAAAATGAGGGAATTGAATCAGATAATCTCTAAGGTCCCTTTCCAGCTTTGACATTCTATGAGCTTTTAATAGAATCATTGTATGATTGCTACACTAGAAGACACCATGATGCAGACCTTTCTCAAAGTCCTGTACCATAACAGTTTAATTATAGTTTTTTTTTCCTTTCCCTGAAGCCTGTTCCACCAAACAGGTCACTGTTCTTACGTCTCTTTCCTCCAATTATCACAATAGTCATACCTTCCCCTCCCCCAACTCTCCATCTCCAACTCTCTGGGGATGACAATCAAATCAATACTACCATTACTAATGGAAAAAGAGTGACAAAGTGGAAAACTCCTTTCCCAGGCAACTTTTACTGGCTCTCTCCCATTAGAAAGTAAGTTCCTTGAAGGCAGGGCTTACCTCACCTTTGCCCAGGGCCTAACACAATGGGGGTGAGGGAGGAGATGGGGGTGGAAGTATTAGGCTTTCATCAAATGCTTGCTGATTCATAGTAGCTACATCAATGAAGGACAAAATAGACTCAAAATTTTGGGGGACGTCTTTGGTAGCTTCCTCCAAATCTCATAGCTTCAGAGGGGTCTCTTACCTTGGAGATGATGAGGAGAAATAGATTTAGTCTTCTTCAAGCAGGAGTTCTTAACCTAGGGCCTGTGAACTTTTTCTTTTAATATTTTAATAACTGCATTTCCATATAATTGGTTTCCTTTGTAATCCTATGATTTTATTTCATGCAATTTAAACATATTTTTCTGAGAAAGGGTCCACAGACTTCAACAGAAGGGGTCCATGACACACACACACAAAAGGTTAAGAACCCCTTAAGGGCTCTGTTGTGAGTGGAACTTGAATCTTTAGCAAAAACAGTTTGAGGGCCACTGTGTAAGCTGCATGGCAAGTAGTATTAGCACTAACCAGAAAGACCATGCCATGCATCTTAATGTCACTGGTTAGAGAGATGCTAACAAAGCACCACCTTTCCATTCAGGATAGCTTTCTCCCTTTCTTCCTTTCATTGAAATTTTGCCTTATTAAGCTAAGTAAACACTGAAGTTTGCACATTCACAGATTTACATAATGTGAAGTCTGGAAGGAATATTTGCCCAACTCCTCATTTTACAGATGAAGAAACTGAGAGCCCAAGAGTATAAGTGGCTTCTTTAGGGTCATACAATTTGTAAGAGGAAGAGCTAAGATTTGAACTTAAGTTATTATTTTTTTAAACTGAATCCACTGTATTCACTACACCGTCCATTCCTGTACTGACAAACCCCCTACCCCCCGGCAAAAAAAAAAATACATTAAAGTATTTACCACCACATGTGTACCTTGCATGCCTAACATGAGAAAGAAGCATCAAAAGGTTAGCCAGACGTATGGACTGCTGCTGAGAGGAGATTCCACTCTTTGCAATAACCCACACCAGTGCGTCAGTCACAGCATTAAGCAGGTGATGTAACTTCCTGCTACTCTCGGGTTCTTCAGTTGCAGCTGCTAAAGGAAACATACCTGCAGAGACAAAAAACTGTTAACACATTTTCTGTCGTGAGAGGAAGGGGGAAAAAACCCTGCCTTCAGCAAGCCAGTGGGCATACCTCCTCTGGCAAGAAGCCCATATTTGCTTTCAGCTGTTCTGTTTGCTTAGCCCAAATCTGAAAAAGTATGGTTTTGATTTTACGCAAAGTTATTGAAGCATCTCCCTAATATTGCACTTTAGCCATTTAGTAACAGTGCTTCCAGAGGAAGGGGTAATTCTGCAGAGAGATAAGCTAGGTAACCTCTCTAGGTCCCTAGCAAACCTAGAGAGAGAGAGAGACATCATCACCTAAAAATGCATATTTGTAGAGACATATAAAGACAGCCTTCAATAAAATTTATCATTGATTCATGAAAAAAAATGCTGAGAAAAAGTAAAGAGGGATTTTGCCTCAATAAAATAAAAATTACCTACTTTAAGCCGAGTCAATACCAAATCTTCAATAGAAACATTAGAATCATTCCCACTAAAAAACAGGTATTAAAACCAAAGGATTATTTTGTAAAGCTAGACCAGAAGTTCTCAACTTGGGGTCTATAGAATCCTATAAGGGGGTCTTGTGGATAGATTTCAGGGATCAGGAACTGAGATGGTTAAAAAAAATTATTTCAATGTAATTGGGGGGTTTTTTATAATCCTATGTATTTTATTTTATGCATTTAAAAATGATATTCTGAAAAGGGTTCAACAGATTGCCGCAGGAGCTCACGCGAAAGGCTGAAAACCGATCTAAACAAAATATTAACAGAAGTCATCTGAAGCAATAAAATTTAAGAATCTCAAGAGAAATCATGGGAAAAAAAATGAAGGAAGAAGGCCTAGAAGTACCAGATGTTAAATTTTACTACAAAGCAGTAATTATCAAAATAATTTGGTACTGATTAAAAATAATTTTGGTCAATGGAATAGATTAGGTATACCAGACCTAGGAATAATCACTACTAGCTACTTTGGCAAGGTCTCACAATTCAACAAAAACTACTTGGACAGCTGGAAGCAATCTGGCAAAAAATTAAGTTTATAACAATATCTAACACTGTATGCCATAGAAAACTCCCAATGAATATGGAAGCTAGTTATAAAAAAGTCATATAATAAGTAAATCAGAGGAGCAAGGAAGAAGACATCTTTCACAAAAATGGATATGGGGCGATGCTTTTACCAAACAAGGAAAAGAGATAATCACAAAAGATAAAATGGACAGTTGCAATTAAACAAAATCACTGCAGCTAGAATTCAGAGGGACATAAGAAACTAAGAAAAAATATTTGTGGCAAACTTCTCTTAAGAGGCAACATGTATGTAGAATTCATATAAATGTGTAGGAACAAGAACAATTCTCCAGTAGATAAATGGTCAACAAATATAAACAGGCAATTTCAAAAGAAAAAAATTGAAGCTATCAACAATCACATTTAAAAAAAAAGTGTTCCAAATCACTAACATAAGAGAAATGCAAATTAAAACACCTATCAGTTTCTATCTCATATCCATCAGACTGGCAAAGATAACAAAAAAGGAAAGTAACAATTGTTGAAGAGGCCATAGGAAAACAGACACACCAAGCTGTGAATTGTTCCAATCACACCAACTTAAAAATTCTTGTATATACCTTTTGATCAAGAGATACCACAAGTTTTGTGGTATATGAATGTAATGGAATACTATTATGCTGTAAGAAATGATGAACAAGCTGACTTCAGAAAAACCTGAAAAGACTTACATGGTCTGATGCTGAGAGAAGTGAGTAGAACCAAGAGGACTTTGTACACGATAACAGCCACGTTGTGTGATGACTAACATTGTTAAACTGAACCCTGCTCAGCATTACAAGGATCTAAGACATCTCCAGAGGCCTCGGGATGGAAAATGCTGTCCACATCCAAAGAAAGAACTATGGAAGTCGAATCGCTATCACTTATTTTTACCTTCTGTTGAGTTTTGTTTCATCTTTCTGATGGTTCCTCCTATTGGTTTTAATTTTTACTTACAACTTCACTAATGTGAAAATATGTTTAATGGGTATGTAAATGTAAAGCCTATATCAGATCGTGGGCCGTCGTGGGGAGGGTGGGGGGAGGAAGGGGGAGAAAAACTTTCAACTCAAAAGCATGTGGAAGTGATTGTTGATAAATCAAATAAAATTTTTTATTAAAAAAAAGATACCACAACTTTGATCTCCCAAAGAACAGATTCATATATACAAAAATATTTGTAGCTAATTTTTTTGTAGTAAAGACTGAAAGAAAGTAGATGCCCAACTGGAAAAATTAGAATATATTAATGTAATATTGCACCATTATTGTACCATTGTACCATTAAAAATATTGAAACCATTATACCATTAAATAGTGTACCATTAAAAATATCTAAAGGGACAGACTCAGAGGAATCTGGGAAGCCTAGTATGAACTGATGTAGAATGAGGAGGAATTATAAAGCAACTACAGCGGTGTATAGCAAAACAGTTTTGAAAGAATTAAAGAACTCATTGCAGTGAGTGGTCAGGTCTTCAGAAGACTAACAATGAAAGAGTCCCACCTCTTGGCTAAGCTGTAAACTATAGATATAAAATGAGACATACATCATTTTCAGACACAATCAATAGGTGATTTAAAATAAAACAACAACGATATTCCTTTGTTGCAAGGCGGAGGCTTTCTTGGTGGGGAAAGTGTTGTGGCAAGGATTGGGAAAGCAAGTGTTTTTTTTCAGAAGAATAAAATGGGGCAGCTAGGTGGTAGAGTGGATAGAGCACCGGCCCTGAAGTCAGGAGGACCCGAGTTCAAATCTGGTCTCAGACACCTAATACTCACTAGCTGTATGACTCTGGGCAAGTCACCTAACCCCAACTGCCTCACCAAAAAAAGAATAAAATAAAGAAAACAAGGTGAATGAAATCCTCAAAAATAGAAGAGCAGAAAGAAGTTCAGAAAGGGAGACAAACAAGTATAGTATTATTGGTACTACAGTATTAAGTGTAATTAAAAAAAAAAGCTATATGTAATAAAGATTCATATACAAGCATCTTTTTCTGTTCATCATATATTGAAATGTTTGTGTTTATTGATGTTTATTAAGCCCATAATTAAAAAAAAAGAATGTCCACTCCCACCGCTTAAATTTGACAACGTATTAGAAACCCTGCCAATTTCAATAATAGGAAAAAGACTTTTTTTCATCAGATTTAGGATTTCATCAGATCTAGGATTTCAATGCATTTCACAGTGAGGTAACTCCCCCTTCCAGCGCAGATCAGCAGCTACTCTGCAGCCAGTAATCATGGAGAATCCCTGGGGGACTGAGAGATTAAGTTACTTGTCCAGGGTCACATAACCAAGGTTTGGTCCCAGTCAAGACTGGATCCTGTTTTTGTCAAGAGCAGATGTCTGTCAATATGCAGCACTGCCACTCATGGAGAAAAGATAATAGAGGGATTAACACTAGAAGAAAGGAGATCAGAGTTTTATTTGCTAATGACATGACAGAGCGTCTAAAAAATCCAACTTCCCCTACCAAACAAAAAGGACAATACATCCAGTAGGCACGTTTAGCCTACAGAAGAAACTCTCAGGGTGGGAGATTATAACTGCCTTCAAGTATTCAAAGTACTGTCATGTAGAAAGGGAATTTTACATGCTCTGTTTGGCTTTAGAAGGCAGTACCAGAAGCGGTGAAAGGAATTTGAAAGAGGCACTTACTTCTAAAAGTGGTGAATTCTCTCTGAATGGAGAACTTCAATCAGAAGCCAAGACAGCCTCTTGTCTGGTATGCTGGCAGTGGAGGATTTCTTCTGGGCATGGATTGGACTAGATTACCCCTGAGGTCCTGTCCCTCTCCATGCCTGTGATTCTGTGATACGTGCAAGGCACCATGATAAAAAGACCCATATAATTTCCTCTTAAGGGGACAATTACTACTCCCATTTCCCAGATGAAGAAATTTAGGTGGAAAGGTTAAGAAGCTCACTTAGGTTCTCAAAGTTAGTGAATAATGGTCTTCTGATTCCAAATCCAAACCACCAAACCATGGTGGATACTTTGATGATAGGACTTCTGGTCCCTGGTGACAGTCTAGTGGTGAAAATTCTTTTGGACAGTCAAACCTGTTGGTAATACCCAGCTACAAAGAGGACCAAATTTTCCTCTACTATGAGAGACATAACACCAGACTCAACTATTCAATCGCAATCAGTCAGGCAGTGCAATGGATAGGGCAATGGGCCTGGAATCAGGAGGACCCAGTTCTAAATCCAGTCTCAGACATTAGCTGTGTGACCCTGAGCAAGTCACTTAATTATATTTGCCTTAGTTTCATCAGCCATAAAATGGGGATAATGATAGCATCTTCCTCGCAGGGTTGTTGTAAGGATCAAATGAGATAATTGTAAAGCTCTTAGCACACGCTGCCTAGCACACAGTAAATGCTATATAAATGGTTACTATTGTTATTATTATTATTATTCCCCTCGATGTCATTAGGAGTCTCTCTACAAAAAAGTGATATTTGAACATGGGGTACTTGTTACAAAAGAATGTCTCTAAGTAATAGATTCACCTCATTTTCCACTCAGGAAGATTAGGAGTCAACTAACAGCCATTAAATGACTTCTGTCAATGACTACTATCCTACCCCCTACTTCTCCTCTTAGTGGAAGATGAAAATTATTGTGGTACAATCTAGAATTCTTAATAAAAATTATAGAAAATCCTATAATTTGCAAAGTATACTGTGAGCTTGCATTATTATTATATGAACTCAAAGGAAAATAAATCTTTTCTGGAGTTTTAAGCCCTAATCCTGTGGCCACATATATTTTTCAGCTCTTCCTCTTCCGGGGCTTCCTCAGCCTTCTCTCATCCCCTCCTTCAGCTCCATGGGTCATCTTGAGCTGCTTTCCTCCATGATGTAGTCAGTCTTTGCCAAGCCAATGCCAAGCTGCCCTTCCAATTCAACCAAGAAACTTTTTCCTAAAAACTTTACCCTAAAAGGATAATAGCTAGCATGCACATAGCACTTTAAGATTTACATGTTATTTCATTTGATTCTTATAATATAGTAGTAGATAACAGAAATCATCTAGAGAAACAAAATCCTACTTTAAAAAAAAAAGGTTTGCTGCTGCTATTCTAAACAAATGTTATACTTAACAAAAAAGTAAGGGGCTTTCTTAAAAGGAGGAAAAAGACAACACTGCATTTGCCTTAATACACTGGCATGGCCCTTCTACACACTGGTTCCAAAGAAGCCTCATTTTCCCCTTTTGATCTTCTGAATGAGTTAGATGTGCTACTGATTGAACCTGCTATCTCTAACCCAACTTTGCTCCTTAATACAGTGGTTAGCCCAGGTTTTCAGTAATAGCATATGATGGGCTTGAGACTGAAATTATCATAAACGGGTCTTGCCAAACATAAGGCAAAAAGAAAAAAGAGAAAACTTCTTTTAAAAAAGTCAACTATTTCCTGAGGAGCACTTTGCAGCACAGAAATGAGTTTTAAATTATTTTTGAAGATCAAATTTTTAAAAATCCCATGCCAGGAGGCAAATGTATTTTTCCCGCCACATCTAATTCTCCCTTTCTCCAAGATGGCAGATGTGCCCACGACATAATGCCTGGTAATAAGGTCCAAATAGAGGGCCAAAAAAACATAGTTTTCCCTCAACAAGTAACTTCAAAGGTTTTGGAGTGAGATCTCCCGCACACATCAATTACATCTAGCATCAATGTAAGTGGTGCTTTTCTTGCATTCAGAAAGGAAAATGACAAGTCTAGTCTTTGGCAAAGTATGGAAATAATCACCATAAAAAAGCAGGAAAATCTTCCCTGAAAAGATCAGAGCACTTTCTAGCTCTTTTTCCAAATTGGATTTTGTCCATCTTTCTTTTTCATTGTTTCCATTCTCTATGTTTTTTTCTACTTGTGTACCTTTCAGAGTTAGACTGTATAAGGGCAAAGCCAATCCAAGGTCAACTGTTAACCTGAGTTAGGGAAAGAGTGCCGTATGTCTTTCTTATCTCCTTTTTTCACTTTTCCCCCAGTGGGAAAATTGCCCCCTGATTATTTGCTCTCCTCTCACACTCAGGCCACTCCTCTGGGTTTCCACCTTCATCTGAACATACTATCCCTTTGACCTATGCAAGCAGGACCTTGTCAAGAGACTGAGCTAGCTAATTTTTTTTTTTTTGCTTTTTGGTAACACAATCGGGGTTGAGTGACTTGCCTAAGGTCACACAGCTAGTAAGTGTCATTTGCCTGAGGCCAGATTTGAACTCAGGTCCTCCTGAGTCCAGGGCTGGTGCTCTATTCACTGCGTCCCCTAGCTGCCCCTGAGCTACCTAATTTGATAGCTCAGCCCCAAGCAAAGTTGTTAATAGGTAGCAATAATGTTATCACTACCACCACCCCATAGCTTCACTTCTCCACCATTTTAGAGAAACAATGCCTTACCCAAGGGATTGGCTAATTTCAGGCTCTCTTGTGAGTAGCTCTCCTCCCCATCAGAAGCCAAAAACTGGAAGCAGATATAGAAGGAAGTGAAAGGATGGCTGTTAAGGCCTCCAGAAAGCAGGCCACTCCTTCACTCATAGTAGCCAGGCTCCTTTCTGCCTAATGGCCAATTTGATTTGTCTTAAAGGCCATAGTTCATCTAAGAATTCTTCACAAGTCTCGACATTTTCCAGTACTAAATTGTTATAAAAGAGGTAGCATTTTATTCCTAAAGGCATTACATGTTGCTTGTACCATGCTGTTTCTAAGAAGTCTGCCTGGGATTAAAAAGTGAATATAGGTTATTTACCAAGTACACAGAATTCTGAAACTTGAGAGTTGGAAGGAATCTTAGGGGTTGTTTAGCTCAATCCATACCTGAAAGGAATCCCCACCACAGCATAAGACAAATGGTTATACCATCTCTACTTAAGGACCCCTCCCTGGCCCCTAACTTTTCCAGTCTTCTAATACCTAACTCTCTTCTGTTCACTCTATGAATTTGCTACACTTGGCCTACTTGCAGTTCCTTTAAAACAACACTCCATTTTCCATCTTCATACCTAAACTGGCTGCCCCTACCCCTGCCCCATGCCTATTCTATTCTTGCCTTTCTTCATATACCCAGAACTTGCCTTGTGCCAGGTACATAGTTCTTAATCAATGCTTGTCGAATGACCTCTCAAGACAATCCATTCTACTTCTGACCTGCCCTACTTGTTAAGAAGTCTACCCCAACCTCAAGCCTAATTCAGCCTCTTCACAGCTTCTGTCACTTCTCTTTCTTCTCTCGGGGACCAAACAGAGCATGTCTTCAATCACAGGCCTTCAGTTACCAGAAGACAGTTATCATGTCTGCCCCTGAGTCTTCTCTTCCCCAGGTTAAATATGCCTAGCTCCCTTCAACCACTTACAGGATATGGACTCAAAGCTCTTCATTATTTAGGCTGCCCTTTTTCTACACAACCTCTAACTTATCAATGTTCTTAAATTATGGCACCCAGAGCTCAGCACAATATTCCAAATGTGGTCTGATTATAACAGAATACAGAGGGAATTTTACCTCCTTGTTACTGGAAGCTACGTATCTCTTAGGGAAGCTGGGTGATGCAGTGGGCAGAGTGCCAGACCTGGAGTCAGAAAAACTTCTTCTTCTTGAGTTCAAATCTGGCCTCAGACACTTACTAGCTGTGTGACCCTGAGCAAGTCGCTTAACCCTGTTGGCCTCAGTTTCCTCATACGTAAAATGAGCTGGAAAAGGAAATGGCAAACCACTACAGGATCTTTGCCAAGAAAACCCCAAATTGGGTCATGAAGAGTTGGACACGACTGAAATATGACTGAAAAATACATAATAATAGCACCTACCTTCCAGGGTTGATGTGATAATAAAATGAAATAATATTTGTAAAGCATTCTGCACACCTAAAAGTATGCTACATAAATGCTAGCTATTATGTTTTTCTTCTTACATTCTACTGACAGCATAAAATATGCAGTCATATAAGAATAAAGTATGTGCAAAATTAATGAAGCCAGAGATAATATCTTCTCTAAATTTGGTCTTGTTCCCATCCCAAGACACCCGGGATGCGCTTAATCACCATTTGGTGGAGTTAGTTAAACTTCAGACCAATTTAGCTGTATAATTAGGAACTGATAAGAACTAGAAAGAAATCCATTGAAACACTGGCATGTCAGGAATTACTGAAAAGGTTTTCTTTTTAATAAATAAATACATTTTGATGTTGTCCTACTCTTCTCACTCTGGAAATATGCATTCTGGGGGAGAGACACGAACCACAGCTGTGGGTTTACTCACTGGAATTCAGAAGAATCATAGCCTTGACACAGAGATACTCCTTGTGTTGGAGTTTCAACTCTCGGAACCTTGAAGTTGTTGCCAGGAGCATGTCAAAGATTTCCAAAATCCCTTCGACACATTTGCCCTCATCCCTACAAAAGAACATTTGGAATGTTACTGAACACGTTTCATAAACCTTGTTTTTCTTTTTAACAGCACCAGAATCAGTGGGGAGGTAGGTTCTGCATCAAATCCATGCTTTTCTAAAGACCTTTAATACGGAAGGGGAAGACAACTACTTGGAAGAGCTGAAATTGTATTTAAAGATTCAATCAGTTAAGGAATTAATTGCACTTATTTTTCCTGAGGAAAATTAAGTTGCTTAAACACTTCTGTGTTTGATAGAAGTCTCCTCTGTATCTCCACGAATAAGAAAACCCAGGTTATACCAAAGCTGAACCAACAGAATAGGCCTGGGAAAAAAGAAATCAGGGAATGATATAATGCAAATAGCAATGGACTTGGAGCCAAAATAAAGCATTATTATCAGCAGCAACAAACTATGGTACCATCACCACCACCATACATTTATATTATTTTTAAAAACTGCAAAATGCTTTATATGCAATATTTTAATATAAGCCTCACCACAAACCTGTTGTGAGCATCAGAAGCATTTGTACATCTGTTATACAGAGGATGAAACTGAGTGTCAGAGAGGTTAAGTGACTTGCCGAAAGTCAAGGATACAGCCCCCCGGGTTGAATTCAGGAAGATCTGAATTCAGATCCAGCCTCACATACTTATTAGCTGAGTGACACCAGGCAAGTCATTCAAACTGTTTGCTTCAGTTTCCTCATTTGGAAAATGGGGATAATGATAGCATTCACCTCCTGGTGTTATTGGGAGGATTAAATGAGATAATAATTGTAAAGTGCTTTATAAAGTGCGTGGTAAACCTCAGCCTCTGGAGGCCCTAAGTCATTTTGACTTTTATAAATACGCAAATTAACTATAAAGAACATAGAAAGATGCTATCTACATCCAGAGAAAAAACTAATAAATAGAATTATGTACAGAATAATTTTACACATATACATATATATACACACACATACCTATTTGTGTCTAATGACACATTTTTGAAGGGGGAAGAAGGAAATTTACAACACTGTTTATATTTAAGAGTAATAGCAAGTTGTACATAGTGAATTTGAGGTTTCATGTGCAATCATCTTTTTGGTGAACTATGTTATGGAAATGCTTGTTTCATTCTATAAATAAAAAATAAATCCAAATTTTAAAAAAGTGTTCAGTACATAGTAAATACTATATAAATGTTAGCTGCTGCTGGTGATGGTGGTAGTAGTAGTAATAGCAGTGGTAGCAGTAGTAGTAATCTAAGGCAGGATTTGAATCCAGGTCTTCTCTATCAGTTCAGTATGCTATATACTCTGCTATGGTGGGCTGAGATCCTGCTGCTTAATAGCAGTATAACACTAGGCAAGTGGCTTCAACATTTCTGGGCCTCCGCAGCTTCACTTGTAAAATTAGAAGATTGTATTAGATGAGCTTTGTGCTCATGTGGAAAGGAAGGACTAACACAGAATCTCAGAGTTGGGAAGGACCTTCACAAATCACCTAGTCCTATCTGTACTTGAACATGAATTCCATCTACAAAGAATACCCATTAAGTGGTAATCCAAACAGTACTTGAAGACGTTTAGTAAGACAGAACCCTCTATCTCCCAATATAGCCTGCTCCATTTGGGGACAGTCCTGATTGTTAAGAATTTTTTCCTTACGGGAAGCCTAAATGTGCTTCTTTGTAATTTCTATCCATTGCTTCTTCTTTAGCCTTCTAGGAGCAAAGACAACAGATCTAACCTCTCCTGTATAACAGTCCTTCTCAAATATGTGAAAACAGCTATCACGTCAACAACAAACATTTATTAAACACCTACTTATTATATGCCAAGTACTGTGCTAAGCCCTGCAGATATAAAGAAAGGCAAAAAACCATTCTGCCCTCAAGAAGCTTACATAGTAATGGAGAAGATAACATGCAAAAAAACTATGTACAAGCATAACATATACAGGATAAACTGGAGATAATTTCAGAGGGAATGCTTCCTTCTCCCCACCCCCTCCAGGCTTTTCTTCTCCAAGTTAAAGCGTTAATAGTTGGTCCAAGTGATATTCGTATGGCATGGGCCCTTCACCATCCTAGTCATAACCTCTTTCACACTCTCCCTTCCAATTTTAACATTCTGTGATTTCTCCCATCACTGAAATCTAAAATGGCAGACCTTCGTTTTTCCCTTTGATTGACGATTTGAGGCACTCAGATAAAAGCCAAGTATGACCTTGTAAATATATCTGGCTTCATTATCTCAACTGGTTAGAAAAGATGTTGGTGAGGTCAAAGTTGAGAATTATTCCCTACATGAACCAGTTACCTATATATAGGCCTCACAGTCCAGAGCAGGAGAGAGCAGCTCTGTTCATGATCTGCATTTCTAAACTAGGCCAGTTTTGGAAAATAGGTACAGAATACAAAGAGTTGGCCTACTTTAGAAATGTAGACCATGAGCTCAGAAAATTATCACCTCTACCAGAAAAACATCTTAAATTATATGCTTTATGGCAACTGTGTAATAAAGACAGAATTTTATTATAATCCCTAAAACATATTTCAGTCCTTCAGAAGACATGTGATTTCACTGATAGGAGTATGAATTCTGCCAATGCAGATTAAAATCCCTCCACACTTCAGAAGAGAGCTTCATGAGTTGATGTAGCCAAAATCATCTGGTAGGCAACTTTTTTTTTTCTTTCTTTCTTTCTTTTTTTTTATAAAGAGCCCCTCTGAACGTTACTAAGGCTCATGCAAGAGGCTTTTCCAGTTTAACAGGACCTATCAGAGATGGTTCTCCACTGGCGTCACTCTGGAATGGCAGGTGGAGAACCCGTGAATAGATTTTTGCTTGTGCCAAAGCCGTGTTTGTCTTGATAACTGACAGATTTTCTGAGGGCAACATCATTTCTCTGGATTATTTTGCTAAAACAAACCAGGTATAACCCAGTCCTTGTCCCTAGAAAAGGAGAACAAGGTCTGAGCAGCAGACAAAAACAGACTGGACATTCCCGTCCTTTGGTTGTTGTCGAATTATTTCTCAGTCGTATCTGATTCTTTGGGACTTTCTTGGCAAATATTTTCTTGGAGAGTTTGCCATCTGTTTCTCCAACCTATTTTACAGATCAGGAACTGAGGCAGACAGGCTTAAGTGACTCACCCAGCCATCTGAGGCCAGATTTGAACTCACAAAGAGGAGTCTCTCTGACTCTAGGGCCAGCCCATCCTACTTCAGACAGGAAGAACCTCTGACTACTAGATTTTGACTCATTCTTCTTAATAGTGATTGAAGGAAGCAAGATATATTCAAATCAGACGTGTAGTAACTTTCCTTACTACCTAAAGAAAGGCCAAAAGCTTTCTGATGGAGAAGACAGATAGTAGCTTCCATTTATATGGCAATCAAAGGTTTGCAAAGATTTTACAAATATTATCTCATTTGATCCTCACAACAAGCCTTGCAGGTAGGTACTACTAAAATCTCCATTTTAAAGATGAGGACAGGCAGGCAGAGGTTACATAACTTACCCAGGGTCACATAGCTAGTAAGTATCTGAGTCCAAATTTGAACTCAGGTCTCTCTCACTCCAGGTTCATTCTATCCACTGTACCACCTAGTTGCCCCTCAGTCAAATTAGCACCAAGGGAAAGATGACACAACAGATTTCTTTTTTTTTTATTTTTTCCAAATCTCTACTTGGAATTTCTCAATGAAAAATGCCATATTTGTAGTTGTTAAAAATGTTTTTGAACAAAAGTCTTATAAGAAGCTTTGATTAGACCATTTAATCAGATTTATTTGCTCATTCCTGGTAAACCTGAACTATAAAATATACATATCACATGATTTCAGATTTAGTTCTTCCCTCTGCTAAGGAAGAAATCTTTTCTTTCAGAACTTTAAAGAGGTTTCCCTTGAATTTTACTTAGAAAATGGCGAATTTGACTCATTCTAGAAAAATGCACCCAATTTCATGACTGTCCCCAATGCCTGGAATTCTCTCCCTCCTCCTTTCTGCCTCCTGGCTTCCCTGACTCCCTTCAAGTCTCAGTTACGATAGCACCTTCTTCAAGAAGCTTTCACTGGTCTCCCTTACTTCCCCTTTGAGATCACCTCCGATTTACCCTGCATATATAGTGTTTGAATATGGTTTTTTCATGCTGTCTCCCACATTTGCCTGTGAGCTGCTTGATGGCAGAGACCATGTTTTTTGTCTTTCTTTGTACCCCAGTGCTTAGCACTGAGCCGGGTACATATTTGGTGCTTAATAAAATGCCTGTTGACTTCTATCACTCAGCTCTCTCAATGACATTATTAAAACACAGCAGACACAAGACTAGGCTTTGATGTATTTAACAAGCAGACATTATTATTCTGTGTGATCTTTCTTCTCGAAAGCTTGCAGCTCATTTTACTGGTTTGTTCAGTTGTTTCAGTCATGTACGATGCTTTGTGACTCTAGTTGGGGTTTTCTTGGCAAAGACACTGGAGTGGTTTGCCATTTCCTTCTCCAGATCATTTTACAGATGAGGAAACAGAGGCAAACAGGGTTGCATGACTTGCCCAGGGTCACACAGCTGCTGTCTGAGGTTGGATTTGAACTCAGGTCTTTCTGACTCTAGGGCCAGCACTTTCAAGATCCCAAGGCCCAGGGGCAAAAGGTGACTGAGGATGGGCATTACCTTGGCTATTAAAGTTCCCCCTCATACAACACCTGCCAAACTAACTTATCTCTAGATGACTTTTAATCTTTTGGAAACTGTATTTATTCTAACTTTTCACATTTATATAACACTTTAAGATTTACAAAAGGCTTTTCTGACAAAGTCTCTGAGGTAAGTGAGGTTTTGAGACATTAAATAACATGGGCAGTTCTTGCATAGCTAGTAAGTATCAGAGACAAGATTTGAATGCACTTTGCCCCTAACATCAACTCTTCCCATTACACTGCAGTGACTCAAAGACAACTCTCCCACTCCATCTCCTAGAGGAAAAGTTGACTAGAAATGATCTTC